ACTGACTCTGGATGGGATGCATAGAGCACTTGCTCAGCCGCGAAACAACAAGTGTGGTGGTGTCGACAGGATCCGGCTTGAAGTATTGAAACACGGCGGACGCGCGTTGGTGAATGCCTCGCAGCACTTGGTGCAACGCGTGTGGATTGAGGAGGAGGTGCCTCCGGAGCTGAAGGATGCCTCTGTGCTACCTCTGTACAAGGGCAAATGAAGCAAGAAATGTGGCACGAATTATCGTGGTATCAACTTGCTGAGTTGTGTGGCCAGGGTGATTGCCCGAATCCTGCTCAACCGCCTCGTCAGTCAGGTTGTGGAACCTAACGTGTCGGAAGAGCAATGTGGATACCGTTTAGGCCGCAGCACCATCCATATGGTGTTTGCGACTTGTCAGTTGCAGGAGAAGTGTAGAGAACGACACCAGTTTTTGTATTCGCTGCTAGTTGATTTCACCAAAGCATTTGATATGGTGAGCCGCGAGGAATTGTGGCTGGAGTTGGGTAAGCTTGGTTGCCTGCGAAAGTTTGTAAATCTAATTGAATGTCTGCACAGTGGTATGCGGGCGACGGTGCAGCTGAGTGGACAGACTTCGGATGACTTTGCAGTTATCTCTGGTATGAAGCAAGGTTGTGTCTTAGCTCCTGCCTTGTTAAATATTTATCTTCATGCAATGATGTCTTGGGAGTTTGATGCGGCTTGTGCTCACGGTGTTCGTGTGGAGCACCGTATTGATGGTAGGTTGCTGAACATCCGTCGTTTCGGTGCGAGAACCTTAGTCTGTGAGACAACTATCCGTATGTTGCTGTTCGCTGACGACTGTGCGTTGATTGCACACAGCGCGGATGAGTTGCAGCACATGACTAGTGCTCTGGCTCCGAGTGCCCAAATTCGGGATCAACATCAACACAAGCAAAACTGCCTGTCTCCTTCAACCTTTACCGGAGGTAAAACCTGCAATGTCGCCGTAAATCAGCATTGGTGACGGATGATTGGAAACAACCTGCCGCTTGCGCTACCTTGGGAGTGTAGTTTCGACCGACCAGTAGATTCACAGTGAACTGCGTATCCGCGTATCGAAGGCACCGACGGCATTCGGGAAGCCTGAGTACCGAGTCTGCGATAAGCATCAACTTGACGTTGGCATGAAGCTGAGGGTGTACAAATCCATGGTGCTGTCCGTTCTTCTATACGGCAGTGAAATGTGGACGATGTATCGGCAAGACGTGTGTTATCTCGAGCGGCTCCATTAGCAGTGTCTGCAACGGATTCTGAGCATCGGTTGGTGCGACTGAGTTGCAAAGAAGAAGGTGGCGCGCCGAAGTGAAATGCATGCAGTGGACTACATACTTTTGCTGAGGCATTTGAGGTGGCATGATCATTTGTGGCGTGTGGATTCGATGCGGATACCGAAGCAGCTGAGTGTGGGGAAGCGGCATATGGGGAAACTGAAGCTTCGTTACCAGCACATGATCAAAATGAGTCTATCGCGTTCTAATGTTGTTTCCACCTGTTGGGAATGGAAGGCGGTTGATCAGTGTGCATGGCAGGATCTGATAATGAAGGCAGTCGCCGAAGTGCAAGAGAAAGCCCTGGTGCACGAGAAGCAGCAAGTGCGAAAGCAACAGGCGCTGATAGGCTGTAGTCCATGGATGTCGAGCGAATGGTGCTGTAGCACATGCGGTGGCGAGTGCCTGAGTCAGGCAGGCCTTCTAAGCCACGAGCGAGGCCGCTCAGGACCAGCATCGAAAAGACGACGGGTGCTGCTAAGCACGTAAGGAGAACCGGCGCAGCGTTGGTAGGTATGCTGCATTCGATTTACTAATCGCGTGCTTGTGTGCTGGGTTTCTTTATTTCACGTGACGAGTTTGCTATCTTGTCTAAAATGCTTGTGTTACCACATTTAAACGCGTAGCAGAATAAACTGTTAACTTGTACACGTCGCTTAAGCTAATGGTTGTTGACTTCGATAACATTTTCGCGTTTGTGACATTTTCAAAAAGATGTATTTTATGACATCCTGAACTTATCGCAGATGAGTTGATGCTCAATTGATCACGCATGCCAATTTAGCGAATAATTAAGTTGGCATATCCGATTTATTATATTTGATATCGTCATTCCAAGTGATTGGCTGTGGCTTGACATCCCCGGTGTGGCTGCGGTTGATGTGCATGTTGACAAGGTGCCTACTTGTCTATTAACCACTACCTCGTCCATACTGGCTCCAGGAGACAGTTGGTCGTTGCTGGACAGGACAGGGTGCACGGTCCTTGTGGTCGTGCTAGGCTCGAAAATTGGTTCCATGCACTCAGTATGGAACAGACTAAGGTTCAGCCACCGCCTTGTGTGCGCTTCATTCCCCAAATACAACGTGCTTGTGTTTGCCTGTGAAGGAGCGTGGACCGGCTCCGTTGATAAAACGTGGCTCCATCCACATGCCTCCCGGTCTTATTCCTTCGGGTTTACACTGGATATGGGGGGTGTGAATGGAGTTGTGGGTGGTGCAGCGCAAGCCACCAATGGTCTCTATGTAGACGCAGACGTCCTGTGGGGGTCGCAGTGACAAGCAAATTCGGAAACGGATGCCGTCAAGTATAACACCGTTTACTTTGAATTCACCTAATTTTAGTAAGTTAGAATCGTTTCTAAGCGCAGCTCGGCGGCTGCGTCTTGGTCTTTGCATTCGCCACAGGGAAACCAGTTAAAAAGCTTGAAGTAGTCTGAATTGGTAAGTATGTCGCATGGCAAGTAAGTTGCTTCTGGTTTGCTTCACTAACCCAAGCGAATAACGCAGCAGATTGAGCACATGTGCTGTGTCGTCTCTGCCATTGTGTTACACATGTGCTCGTGAGTTTGCGTCGTTGCATTCTTGAAGGCAATTGCCAGTTGATATCCCTAGTCTAGTTGCGGTTGATACTAAAGTTGGAAAGGCAATTACCTGGCGAAAACCGCCGTCACGATTACTGGCCTCGGTAAACGGTCAATCTTCAAAAACGTGCTGGGCTGAAAGAGTGGCTCCAGTCTCTATGTAAGGGTCTACCTTCCAGTCATCATCCTGTGAACGTCTGCATCCATGTTTCTCCCAAATTCATATAAATAATGTGCATGTTGTGGGAGTGTTGGCTGACTCTGGATCAAACGTGGCTCCCACCCACATGTCTCCCAGTTTTATTCCTTCGGCTTTATACAGCAGATGGAGTATGTGGATGGCGGCATGCGTGGTACAATGCAAACCATCCATGGAATTTCCGTCAGCAACGTCATCATCATTAGTATACGATAGCTGAGAGTGAGAAACACACCTCAGCTAAGGTACCGCGACACCTAAAAGATATTAAACATAGTAGATAACAAAAAGTGCTTTTTTTAAACATTATGAGATTGTAGTTGGGGGAGAAATCTAAACGAGAGAATGGAAAAGAAAGTCAATGCAAACGCCACTGAGGACAGTTTCTCTCCTACAACTAGTGTATCCAACCAACTCGGCAGTCGGGAGACACCAACCGATGACAATTTCGAAGTAAGAGTTTTCATTTCTCTTGACCAAGTCATCGTTTAATTCCCACTTCTCCTCTTCTACCGGCCGCGCAAACAACGCATGACGCGGGAGTCGGTGGGTTGGTATGCTCAACATCTAGTTCAGTCATCGGGATCTGGTGCGTGATATAACGGTGAGCTTTTTCTGCACCAAACACAACACCCAACACACTCTGTGCTCACGCAGTGTTCCTACCAGACAAGAACTAAGCTGCAAAAGCAGCGATTGTCAAACGTAGCAAGCCTCTGTGGGAGCCTTGTGATTTTTCGCAATCGCGGTGACAGGCAAATCCTGAACGGATGGCGCAGGATACTTACCAGTGAATAAACATAGAACCATTATAAACCAGGGGAATCAAAGATATAGGTATCGTAAAAAGAAGAGTCAAGACCTAAACGCTATGATGTCTACCGCTTTCAATGTCTATGACGGGTCGAGAAACAGACTATAAAACAACCATCCACATGTTGTCTGCGGAAGACCGCGCGTTGTTTGTATACAGATGGGGTGATTTATTTGGTTACTCGAACCGAAGTAGGAAGTTAACTCAGGGGATAACACTGAGTAATCGGCTTAACAGTCGGTCCGTGGCATAGAGGTAACCAGCTTATCTAGTAAGCTTGGGGCGCGGGTTCGAGTCCGCGTAGGGGCAGGGCGACCCTCATGTATCCTTAGCCCGCATGCGACTGGTGATGGTTGCGAGGCAGCGAAGCGTCGGTACTGCGTACCGGTGTACTGCTGATGTTTTTCTGGTTTTTCCTACCCACAATGTAGCGGAACGGAGTTGCAAAAGTGCGTCCATTTGGAGCTGGTAATCGATTCCCAAGTGCATACGTCTCTGGTTTGTTAAGTGTCAAACGGGATCCCGATGCTCTCTACCATAGCATTAACCTGCTGAGCAAAGAGCAGTGACTTTAGTCAGTGTCAGGTCGCATCCAACACACCGTAGTATCGTTAAATGGACACTTGCAGGTTTCTATAGGGAAAGAGCCTGTCACGCGAAAACTCACTATGTTCCGAAACACTGTTGCTGAGCCACTTGTTGGTACGGGAGAATCCCGAACTATTCACCTGGTATTTCAGCAAGCCAGCCTATCACGTATGTTGGGAATAATGCCGATAAGAAAAATACCTCACAACTCGTTATCACCAAGGATGCGAAGAATGTGGTCACTGCTGACAAATTCGGGATTTCAAGATGCGTTACGTAGCAGTTATCTTGTATGGGCGTTTCGGAGACACAGCATGCATCAATTGCAAGAGAGTGAAGAGTAATAGTTGGTACTGTCCATTGACCAATCTGACCCACAGTGCGAACGTTGAAAGAATCAATATGAAAACACGCCCTACGTGTATCCATAGCACCGTCTGTGAGGTAGCAATGGCTAGGAGATCCATTCTGAGAACAATAATAACGGGTCCTCGTCCAACATATGCGACCGAAAGACACAAAAGCATGAAAACGTGTTAAGCTAAAAAAAGTCGACATTTTATGTGGTCGAAAAGATAGGAGTTGATAAAAGTTGGTGTTGTGCTTGGAAAATAAATGGAAAACGAACCTGGTTTGCACGTTCTCTGTGTAGTTCCTTGAACTGGGTTCTTAGAGCCCTGCGGGGCCCTCGGTCAGGTGGTAAATCAGTGGAATCACTTGGCAAATAGGAATAAGGTGCATTCTTACTCGCTGGAATAAAAACAAACGCAAAGTCGACTGGGTTTTGGTAAATGTGTGCTAACTGCGTCGCCACCGTCGTATGAACTGGTAAAGTGGTTATAAAATATCACTGCTGACCTACCGATGATCCGCGTAGACACAAGAAAGAGGTTCGTAACGGTTACAGTAACCAGATCGCAACCCCGCAGGAAGCATACGATAATATGTTGAAATCGACTTCAGAAGAAACTGGAATAAAAGTAGAATACTGCAAGTAACCTGTATTGTGTGGGTTACCTAGCAATGATCCGACAAAATGCTTCAATCTCGGGGAATCTAAAACGAAGTAAACGAGAACATTAAAGCAGTTAATGTCCAAATACCTCACACATGGTTTTTATGCAACGCTAGTTACGTGAAATTGAGTAGGAAGAGGATGGAATTCAAGATAAACGAACGACACCATTAAGGACAGAAGTAGTACGCCGGTACGCAGAACCGACGCTCATCATCATCATCAACAGCAGTACATCAGCCATTTGAACTGATGCTTCGCTGCCATATAACCATGAGGACCTATGAAATAAAGAATAAGAAGGAGAGAAAGTGGGACTTACTGAAACCCTTAATGCACTAAGCAAACATTCAGGGTCAAGGCGACTAGAGCTTGTGTAGACAACATACCGTCACAAACAGCTGGCTATCGTGCAAAGATAAGACGGCATCGGCGAGACAGCTTCCTTGCGGCTTTCACTGCCACGCGTCATAATCAGCCATTACCCCGCAGATAACTCAGCACCAAACATACTTTAAACAGAGAATCCGATTAGGGGACGGCAGCAGACGCGCCTCTGGTGTCGGT